AAAAAAAAAAAAAAAAAAAAGACTGTGGAGAGCAGTTAAAATATTTAATTGCAGAGTTAAAACTAAAGTAAAGATTCAAATGTTACTACTACAGAAACCACCAAACAACTATAATAATAAGGGAGACAAAAAGGAACAAATGACATATAAAACAATCAGAAATTAATTAATAAAATGATGAGAATAAGCCCCCACCTATCAATAATAACCTTGAATGTGAATGAATTAAGCTTTCTACTTCAAAGATATACACTGGCTAAATGGATCAAAAAAACATGACCTGATTTTCCAGATTTGGGTAAAAGAAGCCAGACCTACTGAGTTTACATTTTGCTTCTGCCCTCTGGCTGTGTTACCCGGGGCAAGTTACTTAACCTCTCTAAGCCACAGATGCCGCATGCAATTTGCTGAATCATAACAGAACCTATTTAATGGGTCTCTTGTGAGACTTAAGAAAATTAATATTTATAGGTCAGGCATGGTGGCTCACACCTGTAATCACACCAATTTGGGAGGTCAAAGCAGGAGGATTGCTTGAGCCTAGGAGTTCGAGACCAGCCTGGGTAACCTAGCAATACCCCCCCCATCTCTACAAAAGATAAAAGTAAATTAGCCTGGTGTGATGGCACATGTCTGTGGGCTGAGGTGGGATCATTGCTTGAGCCCAGGAGTTCAAGGCTGTAGTGAGCTATGATTTCGCCACAGCACTCCAGCCTGGGTAGGATAGAGCAAGACTCTGTCACACACACACACACAATTAATATAAATAAAGCAACTAATATACAGTACCTGGTATATGGTAATCAATACTTAAGAGTTTACTCTAGCTAAAAACCGAATTGTCTTTCCCAAAAATGCATACATTGCAATCCTCACTCCTTGTGCCTCAGAATGTGACTGTATTTGGAGATGGGATTTTTAAAGAGGTAATTAGGTTAAAATGAAGTCATCAGGGTGGACCCTAATCCCATATGCTAAGAAGAGAGGCCTCAGAAGAAACCAACCCTACCACCTTAATTTTGGACTTCCAAGCCCCAAAGCTGTGAGAAAATAAATGTCTGAGGTTTAAAATACCCAGTCTGTGGAGCTTTGTCATGTAGCTCTAACAATGAATGCTGCTTGCATTACGGGACAGCGATGCTAGATTTTACGTATGGTAAGTGTTCCTTCTATAAGCATTTATTAGCACCTACTACCTGCTGGCTTGGCTGGGACTCATATAGAGTAATTGCCTCCAGCATAAAATTTTTGGGTCACGGGGGAGACAGGGTCTTTCTCTGTCACCCAGGACGGACTGCAGTGATGCAATCATAGCTCACTGTAGCCTCAAACTCCTGGGCTCAAGCAGTCCTCTTACCTTGGCCTCTCAAAGTACTAGGATTAGAGACATGAGTCATCATACCCAGCCTCAGGCACAGAACTTAATTGAATGCCAAAAAACTCAGTCACCATGATAATAATATGTATACATTTATTTTTAATTTTGGTAGAGGGGAAGGGGCATGGAGCCGTCATGCTCTCTCTGGGCATGTGACCCTCCAGGAATATTTTAACGCATGTTTTTAAAAAGATCAAAATGCTTTCCCCACTTCTCACTACTTCACTTGACCAATATTAAAAATAAAATAGGCTGGACATGGTGGCTCATGCCTATAATCCCAGCACTTTGGGAGGCTAAGGTAGGCAGATTACTTGAGCCCAGAAGTTCCAGACCAGCCTGGGCTACATGGCAAAACCACATCTCTACAAAATATACAAAAATTAGCCAGGCATAGTGGCAAGTGCCTACAGTCCTAGCTACTCAGGAGGCTGAGTTGGGAGGATCACCTGAGCCCAGGACGTCAAGGCTGCAGTGAACTGTGATTATGCCACTACACTCCAGCCTCTGTGACAGAGTGAGACCCTGTCTCAAAAAAAAAAAAAAGAAAAGAAAAGAAAGAAAGAGAAATAAAAATGCAAAAAAGTTGATTAAAAAAAAAAAACCCTACTATATTCTGCCTATAAGAAACTCATCTCATCTGTAAAGACACATATAGAATGAAAGTAAAGGGATAGAAAAAAATATTCCAAGAATAGCTATGCTATGAGCAGAAGTAGCTATGGTTATATCAGATAAAACAGACTTAAAGTAAAAAACAGTAAAGAGACAATAAAAAAAGGTCATTAGAGTATTATATAATGATAAAGGTGTCAATTCAGCAAGAGGATATAGCAATTCTAAATATATTATATACCCAACACCAGAGTACCCAGATATATAAATATTATTACATCCAAAGGGAAGGGTAGACTCCAATACAATAATATCTAGGGTCTTTAACACACTACTCTCAGCATTAGACAGATCATCTAGACAGAAAACTAACAGAGAAACATTGGATTTAAATTACACATTAAACCAAATAGACCTAACAGACATTTACAGAATATTTCATCCAACAGCTATGGAATACACACTCTTCTCATCACCACATGGAAAATTATCCATGACAGACTATATCTTAGGACACAAAACAAGTCTTACCAAATTTTAAAACATCAAAATCATATCAAGTATCTTCTGAGACCACCATAGAATAAAACCAGAAATCAGTAACAAGGGGAACTTTGAAAACTGTACAAACACATGTAAATTAACAACATGCTCTTTAATGATCATTGGGTCAAGGAATAAATTAAACAGAAAATTTAAAAATTTCTTGAAACACATACAAATTGAAACACAACATACCAAAACTATGCTATACAGCAAAAACAGTGCTAAGAGGGGAGATTGTAGCAGTAAGCACCTATATCAAAGAAGTAGAAAGGTTTCAAATAAACAATCAAACAATACACATCAAGAAAGGAGAAAAGTAAGAATAAACCAAACCCAAAATTAGTGAAAGAAAAGAAATAACAAAGATCAGAGCAGAAGTAACTGAAATAGAGCCTTAAAAAAGTACAAAGAATCAGCAAAACAAAAATTTGGTTTTTGACCTTACTAAGTAACCAAGAAAAAGAGAGAGAACACTCAAATAAACAAACTCAGAAATGAAAAAGAAAATATAACTTATGTCACAGACATACAAAAGATTACCAGAGACTATTAGAAACACACCAACATGGCACATGTATACATATGTAACAAACCTGCACGTTGTGCACATGTACCCTAGAACTTAAAGTATAATAAAAAATAAAAATAAAAAATAAAACAAAAGAATTGCTATAAATGAAAAAAAAAAAAGGATTAAAGTGTTCAATGTGTGCCAATTGAAGGGAGAGGCAATTGGCACACACTGAACCCTTTAATCCTTTCACTACCATCCAGGTGTCTTGCTGGCCCTGGTCCTCCAGGTGCTGGCCAGGCCCCCACTCACGTTCAGCAGCCGGTGCCCGGTGCCCTCCTTGTTCTTGTCCTTAGGCAGGGCCATCGTGCCCTGGTCCAGGGTGTAAGGGACGGAAGAAGCCTCTGACCCTTTAATGTGCATGACATCCGGGCTGCTGTAGGGATTCCTCTGCAATAGCGGGGTGGGGGACCTGGCTTGGACCCGCCCGCTGCGGTTATCAAGTGTGCTGAAAGGCCTATTTGTATCTTGGGGTGGCTCCATCTCTCCATCTTCTGGGGCCTGTCTGAGCCCAACCGACGGCCCGCTACCGCGCAGGCGTGGCCCTCCCGCAGCCTTTCCAGCATTTTCCCAGCGCGTGCCTGCCGCCTAGTGACCCACTCAGGCCGGGCCCCTGCTGGGAGTGGCGGGAGGCCAGCTTTGGAGGCATGCGTGCTTAGCGAGCTTGGAGGGTCTGCTGCACACACTTGCCAGGCTATTTCAGTCTCCTTTAGAAGGAAGTCAGAGCACGCTGGTGGAGAGCAAAGGCCCCTCACGGGGCCCAACCACTTTAGTTCACTGTCTTGTCCGCCGTTTAGCCCTCACGAGTCCTTTTCTCCCTGCACCATTTCTTTCTGGAAGATTTACAATATCAGTTATTACTTCCTCTACACTGTCCCCTGAGCTCCAGATGTTAAATGTCCAACAGTCTACTTTGACACTTTTACTCAATTGTTCCACAGACACATAACACGTTAATATTCATCTTCCCTCTTAAACCTGTAGTACATTCCAAACTCATTTGATGCAGCAATATCATATCCACAAAACCTTAAAAATTCAGACACATTTTTAAATTCTGACCCTAAATATCTGAATCGTACCTTTCCCTTTATGGCACCTAATTTGGGACATCTCACACACGAGACAATTGCAATGATTTACTCATAGCTCTGCCAACCTGCTGTCATCCGTCCCTTTCACTGCCCCCGTATTAGTCCTTTGCAGCAACGGATGGAGCTGAAGACCATTACCCTAAGCAGACTAACACAGAAACAGAAAGCTAAATACCACATGTTCTCACTTAAAAATGAGAGCTAAACAATGAGAACACATGGACACAAAGAAGAGAGCAACAGACACTGGGGCCTACTTGACGGTGAAGGATGGAAGGAGGGAGAGGATCAAAAACTACCTTTTGGGTACTAGGCTTATTACCTGGGTGATGAAATAATCTGTACACCCCCACGACACAAAATTTACCTATATAACAAACCTGGACATGTACCCTTGAACCTAAAATAAAAGTTAAATTAAAACTTTAAATAAATACAAACAGAACAAAACCAGGTAATTCCAGAACTTTTTTATTGTACACAAAAATCTAAATTTCTTAATATGGAAACCAAAGGTCTACAAAATGTACTCTCCTAGCTTAGGATCATTATTTATTCCTCTTATTTTTGGAATCTATTTCTTTTATTCAAGGACCAGCTCAAAGGTCAGCTTTTAGTTAACTCTTATATCCCCATACACACATACCCTAAAGGCAGAGTTAACTGCTGTATCCAAGCTACTTCTTGGCATATCCTTGTCAGCCTAAATAACAGAGAGGCAGACTCTCTGAAAGAAAATGTTTATTCAGGAATGGCATTGCAATGAGAATACAAGTGCCACAGTAAACTATGTGCATATTCAGGGAGGTAAAGGAAGACAATGGTTTTTAAAGCAAAAATGATTGTTTTGAGAGAATTATCCTTGGCTACAAGGATCAATAACAAGGATGTTGCCTTTTGGACATTGGACAGGCAGTTGCTGGGCAAATGTCCTCACAGAAGTATTTTTTGTGTGTCAGGTTGTGATGGCCTTTGTGCAAGGTGTGGTTTTGTGCAGTCTTTTATGACAGTCCTCATTATCAGGCATCTGTGCATGAAAATCCTCCTTTCATGGCCTTCCCCAGCTCTATTTGTTAGGATTTTTAACACAATGACTACAACTTGATTTTGACAACTTTCACATCCTGTTAGTGGGCTCACACTATTAGTTGCTAATCTCAAAAGATAAGAGTTCTTTAGGGGCAGGAACCTGCAACTCACCTTGCTCCTCAGAGTACATGGCCCAATATCCCAAGGCCCTTAACACGTTTGTCATTATTTCAGATTTATACTATGTGGTGTGTTAATTACTGCACCCAATGAAACTTGCTGTCCAGCAGCTCACTCTGTTCCTAGGGTTCATGTTATGCAACATAAAGTAAACAGCATCACAGATGAAGTTATCTTATTTTTGTAAAAAATCTAATCAAACTGCTTGACCTAACCTCCAGTCTACAGGAAATTTAGGAGACTGAGGAACAAATTACATGATGTGATTAGGAAAATGTCAGACAATTCAAAAATGTAGGTGAGACACTCTAAAGCAAAACTAGTTTGGACTCTTCACAAAATTGTCATGGGAAATTAGTTGGTATCACCAACTCTGGAAAACAGCTTGGCAGTTTCTTTAAAAACTAAGTATGTAACTACATACAACCCATCAATTTCACTCCTGGGCATTTATATCAGAGAAATGAAAACTTAATGTTCACACAAAAACTTGTACATAAATGTTCACAGCAGCATTATTCAGACTGGAATGAGCCCAGATATCCTTTAATAGGTCAATGAGTTAAACCAAACAAAACAGTAAAAAGAAATGAACTATTGATACACACAACAGCTGAGATGACTCAGAAAAAAAGAGATGAACAGAAAAAAAGTCAATCCCATAAAATTACATACTGTATGATTCAATTTATAACATTATTGAAATGACAGAGTTTTAGAAACCGAGCTTTTTGTACCTGGCCAAGGGCTTTGATCAGCAAGGTGCCCCTGTGTTATCTACCCAGGGCAGTGCCTCACCAGATTGGCAATAAAAGTATTTTAAGTCAGTGAGTAATGAGAAACCATGATGCCTTACCAATTGGACTGAATCAACTTGCATGTCAAGCTAGTCCACTGTAAGCTGGAGAAAGTTACATGAATTATCATCGACAGCCTTAGCAATGTGCCTCAAGTGTCACTGTGAGATCATTCCCTACTTCCTGGAGACATGCATTAGCAGTGAACTTCTTCCAAACTTCCCAGTCATCACGGTCAAACAATCTTTGAGAGACACCAGAAACATCAGAGAAAACATTGAGTTTTCCCTGATGAAGGACTTATACAGGGCTACCAGCTGCTCGGGTTTATGTGCCTCCTGGGTCATTAGGAGATCTGAAGTCTAAGTTGTACGTCCCAGACCTGGAAGGATTCAAGGCAACTATGCCCATGCCAGTTACATATTATCAATGTAGCCAGCTTTCCCAAGTGCATTCCACAGCAGCTCTAGCCTTCTTTATTCTCTAAGATATATAGCTTTCTATTGCTATATATAGCTTTCTATTGTTATATTAGCTTTCTATTGCTGCCATAACCAATCACCACCAATTTAGCAGCTTAGTCAACATACACTTGCTATCTTACAGCTCTGTATGTCAAAAGTCTGACATGGGCAGCACCAGGCCAAAACCAAGGTATCCACAGAGCTGCATTCCTTTCTTGGCTCTAGGGGAGCATTTGTTTCCTTACTCATTTGGGATACTCATAGAATTCAGTTCCTTGCAGTTATGTGACTGAAATCCATTTCCTTGCTCATTGTCGGCCAAGGGCCATACTCAGCTGTGAGGTCATCACTCTCCTTGGCTCATGGCCCCCTCTTCCATCTTCAAAGCCAGCAATGACCTCTCTGACCACAGACATAAAAGGCTTTCTTGTCTGCTTTTAAGGACTCATAAGATTACACTGGACCTTTCTGGATAATACAGGACAATGTCCCTGTTTCAAGGTTCATAACCTTAATCATATCTGCAAATCCCTTTGGCCATGTAAAGTAGTATATTCACAAGTTCCAGGGATTAGGACATGGACATCTTTAGGAGACATTATACAGCCTACCACAATCCCCCACATTGGCAGCAGCTTTCTCACATTTCTCCTTGATGACACTGCTCAAGTGTGCTAAGTCTTGGCTCCAATGAGCATGGCTTTCCTGAAGTTTGCTGACGAGGAAGATTATGAACTCCTATACTGCCAGCTTATTGCCAGAATGAAAACCATTGCTGGTCACAGTGAAAGCTGGAACTGGCAGGATGCCTTCAGAATTGCCAGCAAATTGACAATTCTGTGACAGCAGGGAGAATCCCTGTTCGGCAGCTCCAGCCTTACAAACAGCAAAAGAGATTCCTAGTATAAAGTTCACACCAAATTTAGACCTATTCTCAGGGTCAATCATCTCTATCATCAATTCGTCAATCCTCTTCTGTTCCGTAACATTCAGTTGCTTGCTAATCAAGGTAGGCCCAATAGTCTTATTGATGTGCTTAACAGCCTTTGAAACATTTTTTCCCATAACTAGTCTTCTCCTCATCTTGAGCTCTAGGGTCTCACACACAACAGCTGAGGCACCACTGGATATAGTTCTGAAGAGATCTTTTCCAGTGCAGGACCCTATCTCAAGAGTGGGATTTCCTGGAAAGCCAGAAACCTGTCTGACAAAGAGCTGGAGTACAGAGATGGTGAATTTCCACTCCTATTTCTTGTCACTCAAAAAAAAGAGACACAGGAATGTTGCAGATGTCAACTGGGAGCCCACAAGCTCACAGGTCTCTCCTTTATTCCCGAGTCTTGCCCTGCTCAGCCTCTTTTACTACATAGATTTTTTAAAAGCTCCCTCTATGATCCTGATGTACAACCAGATATGAGAACCAGTAGTACAAATTATAGTAAGAAGCAACTTTTTACATTATAAAATTCTTCAAACAGAAGATACATTCCCTTTTTACTGGCCATGATGTAAAGCATCTTTAAAGCTAAATTATAATTATTACATGATACTCAATCACTAAGCCAGTTTCAGAAAAGATAAATTTCATATTTCAATTTATTCAGTAAGGGGAGGTCAAAAATGAAGGCTTTTTTCCCCTTCTACCATATTCACTAAATTTATGTTTAAACTTGATATATATTTTATAACACTAAGTTATGGCTTTTTCTCAACCAGTGCTTTTTAAGATAATAGTTATAAATACAACTGTTTTGAGAAAATAGGAAATAAACACTTTCACTTGCTGGTTTCTAGTTCATTATTCCCTTTGTCATTAAGATGATAATGCTATATAAATTAATATTTGGACATAAATAACAAATACAATTTTAACATTTTTCATAGTATTGAGAGATGTTTCAGTATTATATAATCAAAAAAATCTACTACAAATACACATGTATACATCTTATAAAAATACATTTAAAAACAAAAGTGGGACAAATACTGAGTCACTATTCTTCCAAAGGTTAGCTGGTATTATGAAGAGGCTTTGATTTCTTTATCTTTATCAGGATATTCTTCCACCTCTGAGGAGAACATTAACTCTGGAGAAGAAAATGAACAGATCATAAAATTGTTTCCCAGTGCCTCCAACAGAGCTGTATAGCTTATTTATAGTCTTTTAAAAATTGACATAGAAAGCCCTCAATAGATTTCTTGACAGTGAAATCTGATTTCAAAGGTAAGCTGATAACAAATGTACAAGTTTTACATTTTAAAATATTTAAATTTTAAATTATGAACCCCTTAAAAGTAAAACATAATAGGGACAATATACAAAATCCTACCTGGAAATTTAAGTCACTTAGATAATCAAAGATCATTAAACAGCTAAAAGGTCTAATTCTACAGTGATGGGATCATCTAAAATATAGGGGACAGATACAGAGGAAGGACCTAGAACTAACAAGAGATATGTGCCAGGATAGTTTAAATGGGTCATCCCATTTCATCATCAAAACAACCCAATAAGCCAGGTATTATCACTCATTTTATACTTACTTTTAAAATCTACATGTTGTATGACTAACATGGCCTTAAAAGAACAGGATTCTGGAAATACTAAGTAACACACACTTTATGATTTAGACTGAATACTGCAAAATCCAGATGCAGTTTTGATGCCAACCACAATGTAGAATGTTATTAGCTGACATTTTCTACATTTAAACTATTACTTAGCATAGATGTTGGCGAAATTCTCCATGCTAAGGCTTCTGAGGCAGATGGGTTGTAAATAGTTGATCAAATCAAAAATAAAATAATAACCAAGGTCAAGAAAATATCCATAAAAGATGTTCAAGGGTCAAACTGTTGAACACTGCCCAAGGAAACACAATTTACAATACAAATACTAAAAAGTTCCTCAAGTAGCATAAAAGTTTAGCAGTTCGCTAATATGATGATTCTTCTTCAGGTGTTCCAGAAGGGGTCTGGGAACTAGAGATGAGTGAATCACTGCACACTGAGCATGTTAAAAGTAAGAGTACTAAACACTGTGTTAGACAATGAAGAGTTACGAATTTGTACCAAATAGAGGAGGTAAGAATAATTAACTTGAGTATGTGTCTGACAGAAAGGCTATGTAGACGAAGCATGATTTATTTCAAAATTAAGAGATACTTTCATCAGCAGGAAACTAAGAGAAGTAAAGAGCAAAGACTTTTTCTAAATTACTTGAAGGGTTCCAAGAGAAGAAATACCTCCTGAATATGCACAAGGGCCACAGACGCCCCTCACTAAGTAGTTCCAGACTCCAGCCCTCCTAGGCACTCCTCCCTGCTTCTCTTGGCATTCTGTTACACCACTTTATTTTCTCTCTGCTTGTATTATTTTAATTTAAATGTGTCTTTGTGATTGGAATATTATAAGCTATACATATTAAAAAGAGGTTTATAAAACCATTATAGAAGATTTCAGGATATTCTTATACTATTTTTTTCTTTAATACCTTCACTAAGATCCATGCCTGGCCTATAAGACAAAAATAGCCAAGATAATCCAACCAGCAGAGCCACCACGAGATTCACCACAATCCATGGCTGGAGAATCTGTTCCTCAATTCCTGCTTCCCTAAAAAGGTAGAAATACTCATTAGAAGTACCTTCAGTTTGGTTCATGTATACAAATATATCTATTTTAGGAACTTCAAGAAAAAACAGCAGTCATCTCCTAGAGAAATAACAAGTAAAGCGTGAAAGAAAATATAATTTCCCTGTAAAATATACCACATAAATAATGAGAACAAGGGTTCAAAGGTTAAACTCTAAACAGATCTGCTCTATACATTCACATAAATGCAAAGTTAGTATTCCCAAGAAAATTTTCTAGAAGTTTTCCTTCCAATTACCATGACATTACTCATCAATAAAGTATATTTGCTTTTTCTTTACCTAATGTCCCTAGCCACTCTCTCAAAAAAGACTACTTTTGGATGCCACATTCAGCATTTGGGGGGAAAAAAAAGACTGCTTCTCTGAGTTTAATGAACTAGAATCTCAGCTATCCTGTCAACTTCATGGCTGGCCACTGATCTGCAGATGTTGGCTCTCCCTATTCTGCTCTTTCTAGCATTGCTTGGTTTTCTGAATCTATCTCAGCTACTCACTCCTATCACTGTTCTGGGGTATGAAACTCTCTGATAGTGGGTAAGAATGCAGGGCTCCTTCCGTCCATCATATGATGACTTATTGTAAAACTATAACTTGGCTGGGCGCAGTGGCTCACACCTATAATCCCAATACTCTGGGAGGCCAAGGCAGGTGGATCACCTGAGATGAGAAGTTCAAGACCAGCCTGGCCAACATGGTGAAACCCCATTTCTACAAAAATACAAAAATTAGCCAGGCGGGTGCCTAAGTAATCCCAGCTACTCGGGAGGCTAAGGCTGCAGAATCGCTTGAACCCAGGAGGCGGTGGTTGCAGTGAGCCGAGATAGTGCCATTGCACTCCAGCCTGGGCGACAAAGCGAGACTCCATCTTAAAAAACAACAACAACAACAACAGCAACAAACAAGAAAAAACTATAACTTGAAGATCTAAAACAGATTTTTAAAAGGAAGATATTTCTTTAAAAATGCAGGTGAATATAACAATAGTTACCCATTAACCAAAGGAATAAGTATTTTCTTGCCATAGATTTGGAAACAAAAACAGAGCCTTCATTATTTGTAGATGAAAAAGAATGGAAGGATAAGAAAAATTGCTGTTATTGCCACTAACAATTGCTAATGTCATTGTGAATTCTTACCAGAGGCTACCATTAACAGAAGAAGGTGTGTAAAGGTGGATTCTGTCACTTGTCATTTGCTGACTCAGAGATAGTATAAGAGCAGTAAAGTACACTGAAAAAAAGATAAATGAAATTACTAATAATTTTTAACAACCTGGTTTATTTTGAATTTATAGATTAATATCAAAAATAATCTGTACTTTGGTGACTGATGATATAAAAGAAATTTATTTTACCAAATAAACATATTTCAATAGGCCAGATATCCTTATAAAAATTTTTGAGAACAACAGGTGCAGAAGGATCTTTTGAGACGTTCACTGTTTCATCATTAGAACTGACAAGAACCTAGATCTTTTTAAAAGTTAAATGACTTGCTCAAGGTCCTAAAATTAGTTTTATTAATATTCTCAAAACTTAGAACAAAATGCATTCCAAATAATCAGAAAGATACAAAATAGTGTTTGTTATTAAAAGGCCGTACCATCTGAATCTGTTTAATGTCAAGTAGAAAATACAAAAGTTAAAAAGTAAGTAATATAGTACAATAAATTAAGCTTTTCAAAGTTATTCAGATGAACCTCATTGAAAAATAATTCTATCAACATTATGCCTATTATGTTTCTAATTACAAATTCACTGACCATCTATAGGTAATGTTTATAAGGAGCAGTAATACAACTTTAAAAAAAAAATTAACGTTTTTCCTGGTTCAAAATTATGGTATAACTCACGTATTACACAGTTACCAAGTTAAACTGTTTACTCACAGAAAGATGCTAAAGTTGTAGGATCCAGGGCCAAAAAATTTCGGATTGCTACTGACATTTTAGCAAAGTCAATCCTAGAAAATATAAAAGCTTCTTGTCACAGTGCAGTTGTAAACTTTTTAACAAAACTTTACTTTCTTGACAATAGTTTTTTCCTTCTCTATTCTAATGCTACCACATATACTATTACTAGGTTTTAAGTAGCTACAGTGTATACATAACACACATGACAAAATTATCTTATTTACAAAGGCCACATAAAACATCTAACTAGACTACTTTGGACAACATTCCTTTGGGGTTAAGACATTCTAAAGAAACTTAAACTTGATAAACAAAATTTCATTAGTTTGTACCTCTTTCTATTGCCCATATCATTAGGCTCTAATTAGGTGGGGTTTTTTTTTTTTAAACGGGTTAAATTGTGTTCCCAAAAAGATATGTTGAACTAACCTGGAGTACTTATGAATGTGACCTTATTTGGAAGCAGGGTCTTTGCAGATGTAATAAAGTTAAGATAAGGTCATTAGGATGAACCCTAATCCAGTATGACTGGTGTCCTTATTAGAAGAGATATAGATACAGAGATACACAGGGGTAAAGCGCTGTGTGACGATAGAGGCAAATATTGGAATGATGCATCTACAGCCAAGGAATGCCAAGGATTGTCAGCAACCACTGGAAGTGAGGGCAAGGGCATGAAACAGACTCTCCCTCAGAGCCCTCGAAAAAGGATTCAACCCTGGCCACATCCTGATTGCAGACTGCTCACCTCCAGACCCGCGAGAGAATAAATGTGCTGTTTTCAGCCAGCCAGTGTGTGGTACTTTGTTACAGCAGTGCTGGGAGACAAATACAAATGCTCTGAGTCTTACCTATACCTGATTTAGATGATATTTAGGAACTTCTGAGTTGACTACATTTGGATGAAATTTTGGACTTATGAACTGATGCTGGAATGGGTGAAGTCTTTTGGGAATATTTTGTTTACAACAGTCTCATCCCCTCAAAAAAGAACAGAAGTAGACTGGCCTTAAAACTTTTTGAAGTAATATTGATACTCTATAATTTTATTTTGAAAACTGTCATGGTCAGTGACACATTTTGCTCAGCATTTCCTTCTGAAGAAGTTAGACAGATCTGGAGTCACAGGCATTACCTGTCAAAAGCTGAAATTGTACTCAGAGCCAAAAGCAAGTACAGAAGACTCTGGAATGGATACGCTAGAGTCTTGTATTGTTGCAGAAGGTTTGAGAGGTTGGATAGCTGATCTCCTGCTAGAACATATATCACAACAATATTCCACACAGCACAGCCAGCCAAGAATCCATGAGAAAAGAGACCAATCATCCTGAATGGTAAAGGGTTTGATTATTATACATGAATTACTAAAGTAAAAAGCTAAAACATGTTTAAAATCTCTTCATATACAAGAATAAAATTCAACATTTCATGACAAGTAAAAGCAAGCTCTTTCTTTTTAGTTACACTGATAGGTAGATCATTGAATTCCAATAGGATGTTTAAAAAATACACCTACCGGCCGGGCGCGGTGGCTCAAGCCTGTAATCCCAGCACTTTGGGAGGCCGAGACGGGCGGATCACGAGGTCAGGAGATCAAGATCATCCTGGTTAACATGGTGAAACCCCGTCTCTACTAAAAAATACACAAAACTAGCCGGGCGAGGTGGCGGGCGTCTCTAGTCCCAGCTACTCGGGAGGCTGAGACGAGAATGGAGTAAACCCGGGAGGCGGAGCTTGCAGTGAGCTGAGATGCGGCCACTGCACTCCAGCCTGGGCTACAGAGCGAGACTCCGTCTCAAAAAAAAAAAAAATACACCTACCTACCATTTTAAGTGGTCATTTCGTTAACCATATTGAACAACCAATAGGCTATTTTTTTCTTTAATTACGGAACTCAGTTAACATTTGTTTTAAGAAAAGTCCAACAAAAGCAGCCACCTGAAAGCCCGGTGCACCGTAAGTGCCACATCTCTGGTGGTCCAGGAAGGCTTCATGTCCATTGACACATCTATGTTTTCTGTGGTCTTTATCAACTCTGAACGGTCAGCAGCCTGGAATCTCCCTAAGAACACATAATGCAATTACTAACAACTAGGGAGAGAGAACCCTGGTAGCCCTTTTTTTTTTTTTTTTTTAAATTCCACACTCAGGAAGCTGCAAACTAAGACTGAAATATTGCTGTTCTATCTGAAAATTCTCCTTGACTCAGCACCTATTTCAGAAAGATCTTTACTTTGGGTTCATTAAACATAATTTTTCATCTTGAAGAAAAATAAGCAATGTCAGTGTATTTTCTTCTCAATCCAAAGTGAAGTAACAATTTCAGAAATCAATTATATTTAATAAAAAATAATGAACTTTCAACCAGAATAAAGTCTAGAAACCTTTAACATGACCTAGTCTACAAAATTCTAATTTAGAGACTTTAGAAGTATTAAAGTTTATATGCCTGTACTACCAAGGTAAGTCAATATTTGAAAACTACTTTAAATTTCTTAGAAAAAGATGTCAGGATGTGTAGCACGGCTTTCTGGGATGACAGGAAAGAAATGGGCTGCTTCATAAATTTTTCTTTAGAACATTCCTGTGAAGAACATCAGTTCAAGAGTCAGCACTGCAATATTGTATGAGCAGGGCTTTAGCCTTTTTACTGTTGATTCAGAGGCTCCTTCCTGTATATCTAGTAATCCACAAATAGACCTCAGGAAGCAGGAAAGGTTCCATTTCAATTATCCTCACCAAACCCAGTTCGCAGGTGTTTTGGAGGATGAAAGACAGGGGTGTGACAATTTTCCCTAAGAAAAGACAACTTCCGGGCAGACAGTAGAACCACTGGTGCCTTTTATAGCCAGTTATGGCCAGTTACTCTAGCAGGGAAATTTCTATGCTAAGTGAAATAAGAATAAAAATGAGGATTAAGTGATATTGCTTGAAAAAGAACTGGAGTAAATTAAATGGCCACATGGTAGACGAATAAAACCACATGACTAGAAGTCATAAAACCACAGTTCAAGTCCCAGTTCCATCCTAACCAACTGTGAGACACTGGGTAAGTCAGCCAGAGACCACAGGTTTCTTATTGGCCAAGAACTGCAAGATCCTTTAGATGGGATCTTATGAAGTAGAGTTCTAAAACAATGTATACAAAATCTAAATTGTAAATTTTAAGGACTAACCTTTATGTTTTAGATGAGTTCTTTAGGCAGCATATCCTTAACATATCCATGGTAGTATACAGTCATGATCATGCTTTGAGTAGGTTTTTCTTAAACACTGTGTTATAGACTGAATGTGTCCCCCAAAAATTCGTATGTTGAAGCCCTAACCCCTCAGTGAGTGTGAGGTCACTGGGAGGTAATTAGATTTTGATGAAGTCATGAGGATGAAGCTCCCATGATGAGATCAGTGTCTTTTTAAGAAGAGGAAGACACACCAGAGCTCTCTCTGCCACATGACAACACAGTGGCAGCCACTGGCAAGCCAGGAAGGGGCCTTCTCCAGTAACCGGATCTGCTGGAACCTTGTCTTGGACGTCCTAGTTTTAGGAACGGTGAGAAATAAATGTCTGTGGTTTAAGTCACTCAGTCCGTGGTATTTTGTTATAGCAGCCTGAGCTAAAATACACTGCAAACCTAGTCTCATAGCCAGTATACATTATACAACGTCAGCACTATTTTCCAAAAGAATATACAGCTATAATGTTGTATTTCTTATTTAATATGATAGTATCATCATGTATTTTCTCTCTAATTTTCAGATGTAGAATTTATATCATTATCTGTCCCACCACAACTACTACCAATTGCAGGAAGCTGGTAAAGTACAAGAAAGAATAAAGAATCAGGCAGGGGTGGGGAAGATCTTTACATTACCCATAACCCCATAAATCCAGAAACAAGCAGCATTAATATTTGAGCCTATTTCCTTCAAGTCTTTTGTCCTATGTATAGATCAAACTCTGTGTGTGTGTACACATGTGTACATGCTCTTTTATCAGAATCTTTCCATAAAATGAAAAATTCTCCCTAAACATGATATTTAATGGTGAAGAATATTATTATATAGATACACCACAACTTACTGAAATCATTCCTCTCCTATTTCACATTTAGGTTGTTTCCAGTTTTTCACTCTCATGAATCATAGCATGATGACTAGTTTTGTGTATAAATTGTTGTACATAGTTTTGCTTAATTCCTTAATTCAGATTTCCAGAAGTATAAAGGATATCCTTGTACAATTTTTAAGAGTTCATATTCTAAAACAAGGCATCTACTTACGGCTTTTTTCCACAAATACTTTGCCTACAGGCTGGCTAATACCAGTGGGTGCAGTGAATACAGACTGCTGTTCCAGAGTAGTTTGCTCATCAGTGATAATGTCTTCATCTTCTACTCCTAGCTCATTGGCATACTGTAATTCTGCTGGTTGGGTTTTCCTGTAATAAAGAAGTATATATGAAAAATGGATGATTATTGAATACTCACAGACTTACATACGGAACTAGCTATAAATATAATGGAAAGAGCCCTGGACTTGGAGTTAAGAAATTTGATTTTTACTCAAATAAATCTGTTATTAACTATTATGTGCAGCAAGTCACTTACATTTCTGAGGGCTTCAGTTTTCTCATTTGAAAATTGAAGTGACTGAACTAATCTGTAAGCTTCTTTCCAAATTTAAAATTGTATGATTCTCTGTAGACACTGATATGATTTAGCTATGTCCCCACCCAAAATTTCATGTTGAATTGTAATAATCCCTACCTGTCAAGGGACTGTTCTGGTGATAGTGAGTTCTCAGGAGATCTGATCGTTTTGTAAGGGGCTTCCCCCTTCACTCAGCTCTAATTCTTCTCCTTCCTGCTGCCCTGTGAAGAAGGGCCTGTTTGCTTCACCTTCCACCATGATTGTAAGTTTCCTGAGGCTCCCCCAGTCATGCTGAACTGTGAGCCAATTAAACCTCTTTCCTTTATAAATTACCCAGTCTCAGGTATGTCTTTATTAGTATTGTGAGAACGGACTAACACAGACATTGATCACCGTAGGTTCATTTTCAAATACAAACAATAGTGCTATATATATGCCTTCCAGTGTTATTTCTTTAAAGTATACTTTACTCATTTTATCTTAATGCTAAAACACAGTTTTACTTATTGCTGAGATAATCATAGTTTGAATTCTGTTAACATAAGAAAATAAATCATAATAGCCTATTTCATTATCTTTAATTTTTAAATATCCTTAATGTTTAATTTTGCTACTTATATATTCTATTTGTGTTCCTCTTTTTAAGAGATGGCTCTGAAGTTTTTTTATTTAAGTACAATCTTAATTTTTTAAATTTTCTCAGTGGTTTACTCTTCTCAAATTTATCATTAGATTGGTTTAACTGATTTTTTGTAATAATACTTACCCTAGAGGTACACAAATACAAGTATGTAATAAGACTTAATGAGAAGCTACTGTCTGGGAACTCCAAACAAAGCATCAGGGTAATCCTGGAGAATAGTTAGAAAAATAAATTCTTACTTTGTCTTCCTCCGAGGTTTTTGAATAACTGCCTCCTCAGCTGGCTCTGCATCAATACCATTTTCATTTCGTAATAAAGATGAACTAGATGCTTTATTTTGAGTGGAGGAAGTCTCCAATTCTGAAAACAAAATAAATTTAACTTTTCAAATAACTAAAACAGAAAAAGAAAAGTAATGTACAAGACTTGTATAAGAGAAAAGAACTTCAAGAATTTTAATTGGGCAAAAATATTTTCACTATCTTACAAATTTTTAATGTCTAAAAAATGTTATACTTCTAAACTCCTAATGTAAAAATTGAAATTGTAATGCCAAATAATATGAAAAAAAATTAAGTAACCCAACACCCAGGCTGTGTTGAAGATTCCCAAGATTATCTCCAGGTTCGCTGACTTTCTAGAAGTGCTCACAGGACTTGGAAATCATCACACTCACAATTATGGTATACTACAGCAAATGAATATAAAGCAAAATCAGCAAAAGGAAAAAGCACATGGACCAAGTCCAGAGGAAACCAAGTACAAGCTTCCAAGAGTCCTCTATCAGTGGAGTCAAATAGGATGCACTAATCTCTCCAGTAATGAGTTGTGACAACACACGTGACACATGTTCTACAAGGGAAGTTCATCAGAGACAGTATCCAAGGTTAGGGGCTAGTCACATAAGCTTAGCACATACCAAAATTCTGGATGCCCAGAAGGGAAGCAGATGTTCAGCAAAAATCACTTTGTATGCACAAATGCACAGTGAGCCACCTTATAATTTAGGGAAAGTTTTCTATGAGTGTAGGGAGCTGTTTATTATCCAAGTTCCCAGATGCCAGCTAAGGGCCAATCTTATCAGCAGGCCTTTCCAAGGGTAGCAGTCTCAGGTCTGCTATATTAACTCTTTTCTGTATACAGGGTAGGTATGAAGTTTAAATGAGTCACTGAAGCTTTCTTCTAATCCACTAGCTACTCTTCCTATCTGGAAATACTAGTTCCCTGGAATACCTTCAAGACCTTACAATTCTATTGTAATAAAATACTTACAGCCTGGACTGGAAATATAATGCAAGCAGTAGAGCCTACCATTGGTCATCCTGAACAAAATAAACAAAAACACAATTTTTAAATCCAGAAATTTAGAAAGCTGACCTGCCAGGCTTGGTGTACTTTGGAATGGCAATGACAGGTCCTTTTTGATCCAAAACTTAGTTGGGTCCTGAATTTTCTAAAAAAGGTCATTTCTGTAAACATACTTTTCACAAATTATAAAACTAGGTATTGGTATCCATCTTGATTTTTAAACTTGTATCCTAACTGACTAAAAGGGAGTTTTAATTAAACTACATTTACTGTCACTAATGAAATAAATTGTAGAGTTGTTACAACTAGTCTGAGCACCATTTCTGTCTCTTTTCCTTCTTCTGCCATCATCCGCCCCTTCCTTCTCCTCATAGATCCTCAGTGCCCCCAGGCACTGTGGTATCCCACTTCAACTTGCCTTCCAAAATTATGTTCCATTCTCCTGACTTTTCTAGTTCCTGCCCTTCTACTCCTATAATTCTTCCATCCAATCAAGACACGCCGTTTTCTAGAAGGACAAGTAATTAGGAAAATTAATTTATAATAAATTATGAATAAGGGCTGATGTTAATAGGAGAGCACTAATCTCCCCATCTTTGTTCCTTCCCTGAGTTTTACTCCAAAACAACCCTTTGTCCTTTTTCTAATTATTATAAAAGTCATAACACTCAAAATATTAAAAATTAGTAAAATATAAATGAAGGAAGAAAATTTTAAAAATCATACTTCCTCCTTCTAAAACTTCTACCACTGCAACACTGCTATATTCTTCCATTCTTTTTAATATATACATGTATGTACATATTTACGTTCTGGGTTGCACTGTGCTCCAAAAAAAAGATACGTTCAAGTCCTAACTCATAATACCTGTGAGTGTAACCTTATTTGGAAATAGAATCTTTGCAGATGTAATCAAGTTAAGATGAGGTCATGCTAGATTAGAATGGGCCCTAAATCCAATGACTGATATCCTTATAAGAAGAGGGAAATGTGGACACAGACACACAAGGAAAAATGTGAAGATGGAGGCAGAGACTGGCATTATGCCGCCACAAGTCAAAGAATGCCAAGGACTATCAACAACCATAAGAAGCTAGAAGAAACAGCCGGGCACAGTGACTCATGCCTGTAATCCCAGCACTTTGGGAGGTCGAAGTAGGCGGATCACCTGAGGTCAGGAGTTCAAAACCAGCCTGGCCAAAATGATGAAACCCTGTCTCTACTAAAAAATATGAAATTAGCTGAGCATCATGGCAGGTGCCTGTAATCCCAGCTACTCGGGAGGCTGAGGCAAGAGAATCGCTTGAACCCGGGAGGCAGAAGTTGCAGTGAGCTGAGATTGCACCATTGCACTCCGGTTTGGGCTGTAAGAGTGAAACTCCATCTCAAAAAACAAACAAAAAAAAGAGGCTAGAAGAAACAAGGAAGGACTCTTTTCTAGAGACTTCAGAGGGAGCATAGTCCTGTAGACAACTTGATTTTGGACTTCTCACCTAAGAACTATGAAAAAATAAACTGTTGTTTTAAGTCGCTCAGTTTGTGGTAATTTTTTATGGCAACCCTAAGAAATTAACATAGTATATTTTACAAAAATGGGATTCTCCAATACATACTATTTTATAACCTTTGTTTTTTGATTTAATAATACACAACTGATGATTATCCGTGTCACCCTAACAATCCTTTTAATGAGTACAAAATAGATAAAGTATGATTTATTTAGCCAGTATCACACCGTTAAATATTTGGGTCATTACCAATTTCTACTCTTATAAATAATGTTGCAGTTAACATTCTTTAATTACTGCAGCTATTGAATTTACTACTATTCCCAGAAATCCGACAGGCTGTATCTATGCCTCTATGAGCAAAAAGCATGAGTGCACCCATTTCCCATCAATATTGGATTTTATAACTAGAAAAAAGCATTGCCAATTTGATAGGCCAAAAAGTGGTATAGTATTTTATTTACCTTGTGAACTGCCTGGGACATAGAAAGACTGAACAAATATTAGTTGTTGTTTCATTATATTATTGTTAGTACAGAATCTACCATTTCCCCACTAATCTGAAATGTCCATTTCATCATTTACTAGGTTTTTCTATGCACTGAGATCTGAACTTTCTGTTTAGTCCTGCATTTGTCGCCCTCCTCTCACAATCTATACGTATATGATCAAAAGAGACCTATAAAGTATTCTTGGCTGAAGCCATTGGAATTATTCTAGTGGTAAATATTTTAAACATAAAAGCAAGAAACCACCTGTGGGATATTGATAGGGGGGAAAAAATGAGAGCAGAGAGGTTTTTATCGTGTCACCAAAATCACAACTGCTATCACAACCTAACCTTGGTTTCTTCACGTACCAAGAGGTAGCCTTGTCTTTTTCTGTCTTCTTTGAACAGGAGCCTCTGGGTGCTCTTTGAGTTCTTTAGTTGATGGCTCACTGCCCTCAGAGGGCCTTCGACCAGCAGTCTGAGCAAGACCTTCCAAAGAAGCACTTGCTATAGAAAAACAGAGTAGAAAAAAATGAGATTACTTGAGCAAAGATCACTGAATTTTAAAAAGATGGAGGAAAAGGTAACTAGAATGTTTCCTATAGAATAACCCCATCTCTTTCAGAACTAATTGTCCCCGAAATCTTTCCTTCCTCTTCACCTTTGGGATTTAAGTTAGGAAAAGAAATAAATGAAGGAATACGAAAGGCTGAGGAAGAAAAAAAGAGGGGGTTAAAAAGAAGAGCAAAAGACAGGAGGAGGAGAAATTGCTTCAGAACATCTAGAACTTTGAAAAAGGTGGAAAACACAATAAAAACTGACAGAGAATTCTCTTACTTGCCTCTTGCCTTAAGAATTTTCATCAGCCTCTATATAGTAAAGTCCTTCATTAATAAGTTAAAGAATGATAAAGTCATCATGGATAATTGGAGTTAGCAGGTAATTTATCAGTCTCTTCATTTGGTCATTCACTTCAACCTCTTTCCTCATGAAATCTTTTAAAAGAATTTCAACACATTTTGGCAGATTTGGATTTTACCTGACTGCATTCCCTTCCTTGCTTGTCTGCTTCACAAAAGAAGAAGCAGAAAGGCACCGGGCGCAGTGGCTCATGCCTGGAATCCCAGCACTTTGGGAGGCCAAAGTGGGCGGATTACCTGAGGTCAGGAGTTCAAGACCAGCCTGACCAACATGGCAAAACTCCATCTCTACTGAAAATACAAAAATTAGCGGGGTGTAGTGGCATGCGCCTGTAGTCCCAGCAACTCAGGGAGGCTGAGGCAGGAGAATCACTTGAACCCAGGAGGTGGAGGTTGCAGGTAGCCAAGATTCACAGCATTGCACTCCAGCCTGGGCAACTGAGCAAGACTCCATCTCAAAAAAAAAAAAAAAGAAAAAAAAGAAATAGAAATGTATCAATAAACAAATGAAAAGATGTTTAACTTCACTAGTATTTAGAGAAATGCAAACTAAAATAAGCTACTTTTTGCCCATTAACAAAAAAATTTTAATGATTGATATTGTCCAATGTTAAGGATTTAGAGAATGAGACACTCTCGGACTCTACAGGTAGCAAGATAACAACTAAAGCTTCCTTAAGGTAATTTAGCAGTCAATCATACCAACAACGCACGCATCCTGCACCTAGCAATTCCACTGCTAGCAATCCATCCTACAGAAGTACTTCTTCCCTACCAGCCACTATTTTATGCAGAACTGCAACACTGTTGGAGTGAAAAATTGGAAATAACCTAAATAAATAACAGACCAGTGATTATGGTACATTCTTATCATATAATACAATGAAGTCACTGTTTAAGAATACATAGAACTCGATGTATTAAGAAACAAAGACAGTATGTATGATTCCTTTTATGTTTTTCTTGTTGTTGTTTGTTTTAAAAAAGGAAGAGCAACCACAGAAACCTTTTAGGAGTGTGAGAAGTCACAAGTAAAGAGTGAAGTTAAAGGATTGGGTAAAGATAACCTTGAGGTTTCAAGCCTGAGTGCTGGGAAAATGGCAGGTTCCATTAGCAGAAAATTATGAGATGTAAAAAATTATTTATTCCTAAAGGCGATGATGAATTCTAGATATTCTGGGTTTAAAGTTACAGATGCAGCTTCCAGGATTATTAGTGGATGACTAGGACAAAAACGAGTTCTGCTCATGACTGAAGCTTTACTATTTAAATGATGATGTGGCCATGCTTTCAGACTCATGCTCTAATGTAGAGATAATCTGACTGAAGTGAGATTTAAGAACTCTGTGTTTCTAAATTCAGTATCCTGTTCAAGGGTCTGGAATCAATCATAGCTTAAAACCATGTATGTTGTCTAGGGATAAAAGATCTTAAAGAGTTCAGGAATATCATGGAAGTAGGAGCTTAGATGGCACCACCTTCTATTCCATGAATGCATCCAGATACTCCTCAGGCTACCCACTGCCCTGCACCTCACCACCACCAGGAATTCCACTACTTCAAACTGGCCTTAATTCTATCCTCAATGAAGTGGTGATTCTGGGCTGCTGGGGCCTTACTTCTCCCTGATCTGTGATGTTTACCATGCCTGAGGTCCTGGGAAAACTTGTGATCCCACACAACAAAGAATAACATCTTACCTGGTGTGTTTTTTGTTCTGGGCTTCTTTTTCTTAGGACGACTAAGTGGAATATCATCTATAAAGCAGGGGAAAACGTCAACAGAAAAGGCTGCCTAAAATTCAGTGCAGAGAACAATCAGAAGAGAACTTTTAGCAGGGAAGAATTTTCCCTCTCTTCCCTGGGCCCAGCAAACTTTTATAGATTAGGGGAAGAAGGCAAGAAATTAAGAAGACCAGAGAGCGCCCACACTGTGGTACCAGTAGCACACTGTGAGTCAGTAATGTTAGAAACCATGACACAGAAAGTGGGTTCAACAAATATTCATCTGATCCCCTACATTTCCCAGTCCCCTTGCACATAGGTGTGGTCTATGACTGGTTCTGGCCTATAGGCTGTGAGCAGGTGATCTGTGTCATTTCAGAGCCAAACGTTGAAAGAGCCAGTGAGTAATCTGTCAGCTTCTCTTCCCTTGTTGTGGTGACTGAGGAAGCCTCATGTTAAGATGGTGGGACCACAGCATAGAAGTAGCCTAGATTGCAAGCCAGGCGCAGTGGCTCACGCCTGTAATCCCAGCACTTTGGGAAGCCAAGATGGGCAGATCACTTGAGCTCAGGAGTTCAACATCAGCCTGGCCAACATGGCAAAACACTGTCTCTACTAAAAATACAAAAAGTAGCCAGGCATGGTGGTACACGCCTGTAATCCCAACTACTCAGGAGGCTGAGGCAGAAGAATCACTTGAACCCAGGAGGCAGGGATTGCAGTGAGCCAAGATTGCACCACTGCACTCCAGCCTGGGCAACAGAGCAAGATACTGTCTCAAAAAAAAAAAAAAAAAAAAAAAAAAAAAGAAGTAGCCTAGATTGCTATACCAATAGTAAAAAGGTAGTGAAAGGCAATTGTCCCCAGTTTTTGCCATAGCGGAGTTGGTATTAATTAGAAATAACTCTGTGTGATACTAAGTCACTGAGATTTGGGGGTTTTTAGTATGGTATAACCTTGTCTACCCTGACTAAAATGAGACAAAGGAAGGTGCAGTCCTCGTTACAGAGCTACAAACTAGCCAACAGTTGTGTGCTCGGTGACCCCATTCAGGGATGAAGTGCTTTTATAATGGCAAGGTCATCTAGTGCTATGTATTAATGACAATTTTTAAATGGTAGTCATGGGAGATTATTTGACAAAAACATATTGTAGAATTACAAATTACACCATTCAGATTCGGTTTTAAGATAAACAAACCAAGGAATCAAACTAATTTTTGAACACCAAATACTATATTTAGAAAATTTTATATTCACATTAAACTAACTCACCTTGACTAACATGTCATGTAACACCAAACAAATTTAATCAGCAGGACAAAGACAAAAAAGGAACAATTAATTAGAAACCTGTTAATATTCACAGTGAAAATTGACTTAAATCATTACAAATTTAAAATAAAATTAGCTTTCATGTAATAGCTAGTTTACAGACTAGTCTACTGTTTATAATTAATAAGCTGTTTAATAACACCACTAATAAAATAATGTCAATATTTTCTGAACCCACATATACATATTCCCTACTGTCTATTAATAAAGTGGATTAAGCAGATTAAGAACTCTTACTTGTCACTGATTAAAATCAGCTTAAACTCTGAGGAAACTATTCTCACAAACGAAAGATCAGAATTCTGATTTAAAAAAAAAAAAGACACTAAAACAGTTAGAAAGGGAATGGATCCATTATCCTACCATGATGATATTCAGGCTTTTAAATTTAACATTCAATTTTAACTGTTATTCTTATAATTCAAGGATTTTTCACCTTTAAAATTTCAGAAAATCCCTAAATTTTTCAGAAGAGTTTCCAGAATCATTGTAATTTTGCAATGATACTAGTTAATTTTTCTACTGTCTTCATTTTCCATTTTTAAAGCTGAATAATGAAAGTACTGTAAATTATGTTTACCTTGGCACAGGTGGAAGGGCTCGTGGAGGACGCTGTGGGGGAAAAAAAGAAATTTGCTTGTAAGTAAAAGCCTAGAGCATCTTTACTTCATGTATCCCAAACACCATAAAGCTATTCTTTTTTTTCTTTTTCTTTTTTTTTTTTTTTTTTTTTGAGACGGAGTATTGCTCTGTGGCCCAGGCTAGAGTGCAATGGCACGATCTTGGCTCACTGCAACCTCCATCTACTGGGTTCAAGCAATTCTCCTGCCTCAGCCTCCCAAGCAGCTGGGATTACAGGCACCCACCATCATGCCCGGCTAAGTTTTGTTTTTTTAGCAGAGATGGGTTTTGCGATGTTGACCAGGCTGGTCTTGAACTCCTGACCTCAGGTAATCCGCCCACCTTGGCCTCCCAAAGTGGTGGGATTACAAGAGCGAACCACTATGCCCGGCGAAACCACTTCTTTCAAAAGTCTGTTTGTTCAGACATGACAGAAAAATATAATGGATCGGACCAGGATCTTCACATCTCTTGATAATCTCGTTCATCAGTGAAACCTGGGAGGTACTGATGAGAAACATGGGCAATTTAAAATTTGTTCTCCCATTCTAAATTTCATATAAAATGATTTCCTTCCTACATTCCTTTCTATCTCTAGGCCAGGCCCTTTTCTAAGCATTAGGAGTACACTAAAGAACAAAACGGAGAGAACTCTGCTTTTATGGAACTTACATTCTAGTGGTTATTAGAAACAAGGTTAAATATATATAATATATACTATATATTATATGCAGCATGTGTAACATATATATGCTATATTTAAGACATATATCTTGTATACATACCTTGTGTATATATACACAAACACAAACACACAAAACGTAATGAATGAAGGAGACTGAGTGCTACTTTTGTTAGGGAAAGTTTCTCTGAGATATTTGAGCTGAGACCTGAATGAGAAAGGAGCAACCGGAACAAATGCAAAGATTTTTAGGTTAAATTGGGCCTGGAATATTTCAGGTAAAAGGACAGCAAGGCTGCCGCACAATTGCCAAGGAGGTAGGCAGGAGCCAGATTTAGTTAGGGCCTTGCAGACCAAGGCAAGGAGTTTGGATTTTGTTTTAATTCAATGGGAAACCAATGGAGGTTTTAAACCACATACTAACACAAATTTTTAAAAGGCCACTTGAATATACTGGGAAGAATGCGTTTTAGGGCAGAAAGAATGGTGGGGGGAACCCTTCTAAACGCTCATTTATATGAATAAGAAAAGTGTTTGCAGTCAGAGAGCATTACAGTTGAGAAGTATTTTCAGAATCAGATACTAAGAGAAATGCCTAGAAGCCAATTTAATGTTCCAAGTATCTCATGCTGCTTGCATAAGACATTTATTCAAAAGGGTTAAATTTTAGACATTTTTGTAGTTTGTCCCATTTAGCAATCCATTCGTTCGAACAGTAGATTAATGCAAGTACTACAAGATTAGGACGAGGCAAGCTCCCGTAATACCATCCAGTAGTCAAAATTACAACTGGAAAAGAATGACAATCACGGGAACGCGCTATTGTTCTACAGATGCTACGAAACGCACGCGATCGATCCAAGGACTCAGTTCACGTAACTGATTTCAAAAGTCCCGCAAAAATGACGTTCCACCCACCCAGAGACCCAACCTCTACTCCTCAAAAGTAGGACGGCTCAACTGAAGACAAAAATCCTAACAACTAAAAGTAGCTAAGGCTCGCTTACCACAGGATTCTTCCCCATTCTGTGTTTAGCCGGCCTCGGCAGCCGCCGGCCCGCAAGCACAGGGCGCCCCACCCCTCCCGGCTCTGTCGCGCGCGCAGGTGCAATGCGTCATCGGGCAGCGCCGCCGGGCTAGTACCCGGCGCGCAGCGCCCGGTGGGTAAGTTGGGGTGAGAGGCGCGCAGGGACCTGGATTGGCCAGTCCGGAGTAGCCCTGCCAAAAAAGGGGCCTCTGAGTTGGGGTAATGTGCCTAGGAGCAGAGATTCGGCGACCGTGGCGCTGCAATCGCAGCTTTCCCGTGGTTTCCTAAGTGGTCGTGGTGATTTGTTTGCGGGGAGCGAGGCGTGAGGGAAGACCTTGGTTAAAGGACTCCGCAGGCAAACAACGATCTTTTCTAGGCAGCTACTACCCTCTCGGAGGGGGAGTCTGTGAGAGGCCTGGCTGGAAGCCCCAGCACCCGCCGGGCGCTGGGCCTCAGAGAAGTGAGGCGTCGTCGTGGCAACGCGGGCTCAGGTCCCCGCAAACTTCATGCCAGGCCTCTCTCCCCTACTCCGGGAGTTCGGTCCCGGTCTCGCCTGGGTCTCCATCCCACTCCTGTGAATGCTGGAGGGTCGGACGCGCGCACCCCATGAGCAAGGCTCTCCCTTAGTGATCCCCAGCTCGTTAGCGCCCCCCACACACACCCACCCGCCAAGTGTAGCTGTTTACCCGCCACCCCTCGAGGCCGACGCGCCCCTCGCCGCTCACCAGGTGGCCCTCCTCCAGCCGAGCCCCCGAGTCAGCCCTCATGGTGCTCTCCCCGCGGGGCTTCCCCGGCGCAACCGCCGGCGGCCCGAGCCCAGCTCCCCGCGACGCTGCAGCCTGCGGGACGCCGGGGCTTCGTGGCGCCTGGCGAGGCCGCCTCCCCGTGAGCCAGGTCCCCGCCCGCCTCTGCCCTGCCAAACATTGCTGGGTTTGGGACGAATGTGTTTACTCTCTAGGACCAACGAGTCTGTGCGGGCCTGGGTGTGTGGATGTGTATTAATATAGGCAATTCTCACATTTTCTCCGATTGCTTACCCTTCATCCCACAACTGTGTAAATCAAATTTGGAAAAACTTTTTCTTGAAGAACCTTAAAATCAAATCCGACCTCACATAAATATCACTACAAACTACTTAATTTGCATAGTTTTATTTGGTTAGGTTTTTTTTTTTTAAGATAACTTTCACTTTAAGTAACAGAACTACAAATATTTTGAATCATGCATTCTATTTTACAGTTAAGAGATGGGAAAGATGGAAGAATGGTGTGGATATGGAGAAGAGAATGATGCAGAAGATGAACAGATACAGGGACAGGGAAAGCGCCTGGAAATCTCAAATCTGGGGGAAGAAATCGAAACAGGACTTTGAAATGGCATCCTAATCTTGTTACCAAACAAAGGGGGTTTGTTGCCCTATATGCACAGAAGCCAATATTATGATGCTGGTTTTTTTCAGAAAAGTTGTTATTGCGAGTCAACTAACAAGAAGACAGGAGTACAGCTCTAATCTGTCTCCCTGTGCTGGCTTTAAGACAGTATTTTTATTAGAAAAGGTTTAGGGAATGGATTCTGGGATTAGTAAATGATTGGTGGAAGGAAAGAAGCCATCTGGAAAATCTTTTGGCGTTCGCGGTTACTTCTTCATGTCCCTTCATGGGTCGCATGTGCAAATTTTGGAGGGAGTCAGTATGAAACACGGGGGAAGACTCGAGCTGTAACGCCAGCAAGCTCATTTTGTACAGACTTCAGGTAGCCATCCGTGTTAGTCCTAACCAATTTCAGCCAGTTTGCTTTATTTTGTTTTTTAATCTCACAATGGAAGAAGTTTAGGCGTTTTAGCAAATTGTTTTTTATCTGCTGTCCTGCACGCTCAAGAATTTCTGTTAGTCCCTGGTTTCTTTAACTCTGAGACACGGTTTCAATCTTGTGATTCTTCTATATATAGGTCTCCAGGACTAATCCATTGCCTTTTCTAATTTAGGCATGCATGTAGATATTGGCTGTAAGGAAAATTCGTGTTTGTCACACCTCTGATGAGAATAGTTTTTTCCTTGTAGGCTGATTTGTAAATAGTGAAGGCAGTGCAGTTTTTTGTAGGTTTTGATTTTAGATGTGAAATGTGCATATTAAACCTTTCTTGCTGAATTAAGTAAGCACTTTTGGTAAAAGATGTTTTCATAAAACACGTTTCATAGAGTAAAATACAATTTCTGAAGTTAAATATTGCTTATTATATTTAGGAAAGCTCTTTATTTAAATCTTTAAAAGATATGAAATCTGCAAAAGGTTCTCATACTCAGTGACTTAACATTATTCATATTTCTACTACAGCTGCATATGAGATAAAGGAAAAAAAATTTTTAAGAGCCAAATAGGTAACTACATAACCATACAATAAAAATTTTTTCAAATAAGATTAATTAATAAACTACTGCACTTTTAAAGTTGTACACATTATAATGGGTCAAATACTGCTGTTTTAGATTGCAACTGTGGATTGCTGTAACAAGGGCACAGTGTTAAAACTCCAGCATTAAACAAGAAGTCTCATTAAGACTCAGTATCTGAGGAAATCCATGTTGCTGGTACCCACTGAGGCTCCTCCTGAGCCTTCTGTATGGCAGACAACAACTGGGCACATGCATCATGCAAGCTGTCATTCACAATCACATGATCAAAAAATTGGCCAAACTGAGTTTCCATTCTTTGGGCTAAATTTTCCATCTCTTGTAGGTCTTCATCCTTTAGGAGAAATAGAAAAATATGGATAGTACAGACTTAATTGGACAAATGGAAAAAATACAGTTTGTTATGCTGTCACATTCAGTCGTGAAACTACTTATAAAAACAGTAAGGTCCGCAAATTTTGCACAGATGATTTTTAATAATGTTTAAAACATATTTTCTCAAAATTCTACAAAGCTAGCTAACTAGAAAATAGTAATTTTTTTTACCCTCTGTTAATTGAAAGAATGTTGCTAAATATAGATAAAATTATTATTTTTTTTAGACAGGGTCCCACTCTATCCCAGGCTGGCATGCAGTGGCATCATCTCAGCTCACTGCAGCCTCTGCCTCCCAGACTCAAGTGATCCTCCCACCTAGGCCTCCCGAGTAGCTGGGACTATAGGCACATACCATCATGCTCAGCTAAGTTTTGTAGAGAAAATGTAATTATTATAACAGGTATAAGCATATCCTTCCAAATTAATGTAAAGCATAAGCAAAGCTGGGAAAAATATATCACTATCCACAGTATGTCATCCTTTATTTCTTAGAAATGTATTACTGAGATAAAAGAAATTTTAATTTGTAATTTTTTTAAAATAATAAAAGACTGAAGTTTTTATTTAAAAAAATGAGGTCCAATAAATGTCTTCTAAACTACAAAACTTATGTTTTAATCTTTAATCTTAATGTCTGGTCATGTTTTGCAAAATTTAGTAATAGTTTGCAGACAGATTACTCCCCTCAACTTCCCATATGAACTTATTTTACTCCTCCCTAAACACTTGAAACTCTAACCATATACAACATAAAACCAAAGAAAATGTACCAGTTTAAATAAAATTTAAACATAAATTTCAAGTGAACATTAATCTGATAGGAATAACATTATTTTAAAGATACAAAATGGCCACTTTCAACACGAGGATGGTATAAGCCAGTTGTATTACTGTTTCTACTATTGTGAAATGTTCATTTAATGAAGATTGGCCTTCACTTGGCACTAATGCATTAAATTCATTGCTGTTATTTTCTTATTAGTTCACGAAAAATAGTACCACTTGTCATCAGTTCAATCTGAAACACAAATACAAATGCAGCCACCAAAATCTTGTGGCTTTACAAAGTGACCATACATATGATCCAGAAACAATTTTGTTAATTTGTTTAGACTGCCATAAAAATGAGAACAATTTTAAATGCCCATAAGACTCAGCAAATACATTCATGGACTCCACTGTTCACAAGGCAAACTGGAAAATCAGACCTCCAGAGTCATTGAAAAAAATATGAAAATAAAAATAATAAGAGAAAGGATAATTTAAAGATACCTGTGCTTGCTTTGGCAGCACATATACTAAAACTGAAACGATGCAGATTAGCATGGCCCTTGGACAAGCATGACATACAAATATTTAGTGAATCATTCATAGTTTTAGTTTCAATTTTGCCAAGTAAATAAATTCTGGAGATCTGTTTCACAACAATGTGAATATACTTAACGCTAAATACTAACACTGAACTGTACACTTAAAACAGTTAATATGGTAAGTTTTATGTATTTTTACCACACATACACACACATACACATACACACACACACACACACACACACACACACAATAAATGGCTGTAATATCTTAATCTAGGTGATGGTTATCTGGGTGCATACACACCTAAAAACTCATTAAACTGTACACTCTATACACCTTACTGAATGCATGTTATGACTCACAATATTTAAAGTGTATTTCATGTAAAATATATGTATGCAACTGGAAAAAAATCACTTGTTCTAGGATGAGATCACTGATTAATTTCACCTGGCTTGCCCCCTCTATTAATTACCATCATCATTTTACAGATGAGATATACTCACTGAGCATTTTTAAAGTAAGCTTTTAAGTAAAAGATAATCTGTTTAAAATACAAATACCAGGTTCATATATGCCCAATTTCTGTTTGGCTTTGCAAACTATGGCTCAAGGATTTTTTTTTTTTTTTTTTTTTTTTTTAGCTAGACCCAAAAAAATAAGAAAGAAAAAAATAAGGGTAGCATCATAGCATTTATTAAACTTTATTTTTATATCTGTAAGTGATGTCCCTCCAAAAGGATAAATCATAAGGGCATTATCCATTAGAAACAAAAATTACATTCTCTAACAGAGATCCTGTAGAAACAATACAGTTTTAAATTTTGCATTTCTTGTTTGTTTGTTTTGTTTTGTTTGTAAAATAAAACCAGAGTAAACCATATTATTGAGGGCCTTTTGGGGAGGGGGTCAAAAAGGAGGAGGAGGACAATGAGATCAGAGATCCTTGGCCTGACCCAACCCAGATCTCTCCCACGCAGAAGTCACTGAAAGCAATACAGTAATTTTTGACTTGCTCTTACCTTGAACTTCATGTCCACAAAGTAGTCAGTAATAATCTTGGCATTTTTCCGAGATTGTTTCATACACCTCATATTCGATGGCTTTATAAATATGACATAGGGCTTCAGTTCATGAGTTCGAACCACTTGAATATCCTACACAGAAAATTCAAATGCACACTTATTTTTTGTTTGTTTTGAGACATGGTCTTGCTCTGTCACCCAGACTGGAGTGCTGTGGTGCAATCACGGTTCACGGTAGCCTCAACTTCCCAGGCTCAAACAATCCACCCATCTCAGCCTCCCTAGTAGCTGGGACCAGAGGCACAATGCCACCATGCCAGCTATTTTGTTTTGTTTTGTTTTGTTTTGTTTTTGAGACAGAATATCATTCTGTTGCCCAGGCTGGAGTGCAGTGGTGGGATCTCTGCTCACTACAACCACCGCCTTCCCAGTTCAAGCAATTCTCGTGCCTCAGCCTCCCTAGTAGCTGGAATTACAGGCTTGTGCCACCACGCCCAGCTAGTTTTTGTATTTTTAGTGGAGATGGGGTTTCGCCATGTTGGCCAGGCTGGTCTCGAATTACTAACCTCAGGTGATCTGCCTGCCTCAGCCTCCCAAAGTGCTAGGATTGCAGGCATGAGCCATCATGCCTAGCCCCAGCTAATTTTTTTTTATTTTTTATTTTTTGTAGTGATGGGGTTTCACTATGTTGCCCAGTGGGGTCTCAAACACCTGGCCTCAAGAAATCCTCCCATCTCAGCCTCCCAAAGTGCTGGGATTATAGGCATGAGCCACTGCACCTGACCTAAATGCACATTTAAAAACAGAAGTCCTAACTTTCTAGAGTCAACATGAAGCTTCTCAAAATTTCTAAGACCAGAAATTAGCAATTATTTTTAGAGTATCATCTCATGTGCCCCCAACTGCTCAATTCTTAAAAACAAATGAACATTTTAATAATTTGAAGATGGAGTTTTAGAATCAAAATTAAGGTCAAATCCTGACTCTTACTAGCTGTGACTAGCAATTGAAATCTTACTAGCTGAGCAACAGTCTATACATGAAAGAATCTCATTTACTGAGAGTAGGATTCTGTACATGATCTCATATGACAAAGACAGACTCTCAAGATGGATCAGCTCTGTTTCACCTTCACTTCGCTTTCCTCTTGCTATTATCTCACATTGGATACTACTGCCATCTCTTTTCCTCTGATTCTCTAGCACACAAAGTGTATTTCTAATGACAAAGAAAACATGGCCGGGCACAGTAGCTCATGCCTATAATCCCAGCACTTTGGGAGGCCAAGGCAGGTGGATCACTTGAGCCCAGGAGTTCCATTGCCAGACCAGCCTGGCAAACATGGCAAAACCCTGTCTCTACTAAAAATACAAAAATTAACCAGGCATGGTGGCTTGCACTTGTAGTCCCAGCTACTAGGCAGGCTGAGGTATGAGAATTACTTGAACCCAGAAAGCGGAGGTTGCAGTGAGCCGAGATCACGCCACTGCACTCTAGTCTGGATGACAGAGCAGGACCTTGTCTCAAAAAACAAAACAAACACACACACACACACACACACACACACACACACACACACACGAAGAAAATACAAAGATCACAAAAATTGGGCCTATGGATTGCATGTTCTTTATCTTACCTTAACTTGCTCACCCCTGCTCCATGCTACATGTGGTCTCAGGAAGGTAGCCACAGATATGACAACATAGAAACCTCACCTCCTTGTACAAAGCAACATCTTATTCACTCCACAAGAAGTGACCTTGATGCCTTTGTGATCAAGGTTAAAGCAAGAAAGATTCTTGCTTCTCTTTGTGACCACCCACTCAGTTCTGCTTTTCTGTATGAGAAGCAAGACTTCTTTCCCAACTAAAAGCAAAATGTTTTAAATTGACACATTAAGTAAGATCTTGGATATGAGAAATGGCCTTATTCTTAAAAGACTAACAGAATAAATGTCTCAACTATAACCTACAGCATGTGCACAAAAAATGGATAATATGCATTCATTGTTTGGGGACATAAATATTCCACCATGGACCCACCTGAGGCTCTAAGTCCATGACGCAGATCTTTCTTTCATCAAGGACTGTTTGAACAGCATCCACACTAGTGCCATACAGGTGGCCTTTGTACTCACCATACTCCAGCATCCTGCAAGGGCAGGCCAAACAAAACAGAACGCTTTCTACAAAGAAAATATTATTAGTAGTAACATGAGGATAAACTGCACTGGAGTTGAATATAAATATGTGGACTTTATTAGCACAGAAAAAATGAATAGATATTCAAGAGGTGAACAAAATGAGCATATCTAGAGTTTATGTATTTCCTCAAATTCTCCAAGGTTTGCAAACTCCATTCTGCTCCCTTTCCAAAGCTAGTGAGTTGGTATGCTGATATATCAATGTACATTTCATGCTTAACTCCTCAGAAACAAAAGGAATTACCCAGGAGCTTTGGAAAATACATAGAAATAGGGAATCTATTTTGAATGTAAAACAACAAGAGGCAAGAATCAGCTTCTGAAGCTCCACTTTACCTGTGACTATATATGAGGCTTTCAAATGTTTCCTTGGACACATAGTGATACTCACGCCCATTCATTTCATAACTCTTTTTAGTACGAGTAGTGTCTATCAAAAAAAAGGGAATGAAAGGTTTCAGTGTCTTCAAAATTCTTTGATTACCAATATACATTTGAATAAAGATATCTAATCAAAATAAATAAATGAATATATAATCAATTAGATAAAATGCTAGAACTAAAAAGAAGAAGCCTGAATTGGTGATAAGTTCTTATATCAAAATCAGTGAGTCTATAAACCTTTATTGAGTGCGTATGGTGTGAAAAAGAATGCACTAGGTATTAAGCCAACATAAGAAAGACCTAAGGTAACACCTGTTATTACTTCAAAACAAGTGCTAGTGAATTATGTGTGAACCTTTAGATGCCTAAAGGCTCCCAGGTAGCAATACCAATAATATCTTACATTTGGATAGTGCATTTCCCATCATCTCATTTCATCTTCCACACTCTTATCTTAGGTAAACTGTTAATATCTATATTTTACTCATAAGTAAAGCTTTTGGAGAAACTTGCTCACATTCATAAGACTGATGAAAAATGAAGTTGAAATCAGAACCTATGTGTTCTGACTCCTCCTAGATGAATGTTTTTTACAATAGGTGCTCAAATTTGAAATGGAGAAAGCCCATGACATTCTGCAATCTTGACCAGATGTATTAATACCCAAGTGAGTGGTGATTCGTTTTAGGGATCTCTAGGAGGGAAAGATTAGCTGTGTCTAGATTCAGTCTGATTCTTTGATATGGCCACTTTGATTACAGACTCTTCAACTTAAATAGTGACAGGTCATATAGAATATAGGAATTCATCAAATATCTAAAAGTTATTTGTTGTCTGCTCATTCATGTATTCAACTAGTGTGTACTGAGTGCCTACTATGTTCCAAGTATCATGTTAGGTTCTGAAAACACAAAGACGAGTAAGACAGTTTCAACTCTGCATCCTATATACTATAAAGCTAGTCCCTTAATCTACATTACCACCAGTTCCCTTATTTATACAGAATTTGTGTATTTGCATCTGACAAAGTTTAAGGATGAAATAGATCAACATCTGATGATATCAATACATGGAAATGATCAAGTAGGAGCTCGAAACCAGCCTTAAATTATCAAAGGAGTTACCAACCTTCAAGAGGGTCTAAAAGCAAATGTCATCTTGGGGTCATTTTTGTACTTTCCTTATTCAAGCCTCTCATCAGATCCTTAGAGTTCCTACAGTTACATCACATCTCCCACACTTCCTACTTAAAACAAAATTCTAGTGAAACTTTATAGCTCTCAGGTGATAGTGAATTACGTCAATCTAAACCCAAGATGACTCCTTCTCCTTTGCTTCCATTGAACTAACATTCATATGGTAGGTTAAAGTCTGTGAATTGATGCATAACTTGAGGTATCCATTTTAAGCTTAAAACTTCCATTTAAAAAGCAAAATATGAGAGTATTTTCTCATTTTGAATGATTAAAATTCTACATTGACATTCTTAAAATTCTTCTATATTCTATGGGCATTTTATTTTTATTCAGACTATCAGAAAATGGTGATTTTGACCAGGGGCAGTGGCTCACGCCTGTAATCCCAGCACTTTGGGAGGCCAAGGCGGGTGGATCACCTGGGGTCAGGAGTACAAGACCAGCCTGGCCAACATGGTAAAACCACATCTCTACTAAAAATACAAAAATTAGCTGGGCATGGTGACATGCACCTGTAATCCCAACTACTCAGGAGGCTGAGGCAGGAGAATCGCTTGAACCCAGGAGGTGAGGTTGCAGTGAGCTGAGTTCATGGCACTCCAGCCTGGGCAACAGAGTGAGACTCCATCTCAAACAAAACAAAACAAACCAAACAAACAAACAAAAAACACACAGAAAAGGAAAACGGTGATTTCTTTGGTAGTTTTTGGTTTTGAGATTAATGCCCATTCCTGTACATGAAAGCAGTACTTCAGAAAGCACAGCCTATGGGATGCGATCATAAAGCAACTTCTTGGTCTCCCATGGCCCTTCTGTGAGGCAAGATCTTCCCCAGCCCCTGCATAAAATCCTAGCAGTTTCCTGGCTAGGCGCGGTGGCTCACGCCTGTAATTCCAGCACTCTGGGAGGCTGAGGTGGGCAGATCACTTGAGTTGCAGGAGTTCGAGAACAGACTGGCCAACATGGTGAAACCCCGTCTCTACAAAACTATAAAAATTAGCTGGGCATGGTGGCGGGTGCCTGTAATCTCAGCTACTTGGGAGGCTGAGGCAGGAGAATCGCTTGAACTCGTGGGGCAGAGGTTCCAGTGAGCCGAGATC